TGGGTTCGCCCCTTGATTAACTGGCTGAGGCAGTGTTTGTGTCAGTTTCTCCGCTCTGAAGTCACCCTTTTTTATGCCTCTTCGTGCTCCCTGGAGGAGCAGGAAGTCATGCTGTGCATCTTGGATTATCTGGAATAATTCCGCATAGGAAGGTTTTATTTTCTTTTTAGATTTTATTTCTTTTTATTTTTAATAGTACCTAATTGCAGTACATAACGATTACGTTCATCGTGGAGAGCTGGTGCATGCGTGTAACACAGCTTAATTCTTTTTTTTTGGTACCGGGAGTCGAACTCAGGACCTTGCTCTTATGCCGCTGAGCTATATCCCCCGCCCAACGTAGCTTAATTCTTTCTCCTCCCTTCTCCCTCCACTCTTCCTTCATCCTTTGGTCCCGCTCCCTTTTACAAAAGTGTACAGAAAAATTTTTATGCCATTTAATTTCACTCTTAAATATACAAGCATTTGTGTCTTCTAGGAAGTTGACCATTTTTTAGAATTTTTCAAATGTATTAGTATAATGTTGTTCAAAATATCCCTTTATGATCTTTTTCATATAGTATTAGACTAGTATCCTGGTTTTTATTCTTGACATTGATAAATTCTGCTCTTCATTAGTTTTGCTAAGAGTTTGTCAATTTTATTGGTTTCCTGAAAGAACTAACAGTATTCTGTCCATCTTCTCTTTTGTATCTTTATTTTCTAGGTCATTAGGTTCTTAATTAGTTGATTGATTCTACATTCTTCGGACTTAACTCTGTTGTGTTTCCTACTTCACATCTTTAAGGTGGATATCAAGCTTATAGTTTGTGGGGGTTTTTTTGTCTTTTTGAGACAGGGTCTCGCTATGCAGTTCAGGCTGATCTTGAGCTCACTTTGTAGCCCAGGCTGGCCTCAAACTTGCAATGATCCTCCTGCCTCAGCCTCTAGGGTGCTGGGATTACAGGTGTGCGGCACTACGCCTGGCCAAGTTTGTAGTTTTTAACCTTCCTTTATACATACACTCTAAGTACAGCTTTAGTTGCATTTTGCAAGTTTTGACTTATTGTATTTGTTAGTGAGCTCAATATTTTCTTATTTCCCTTGTAATTTTTCCTTTTATGCATGGGTTGTCATTTAGAAGACTAGTGCTTCATTCCACACATGTTGGGACTTTGCTGTTTATATTTTTTCTTGATTCTAGTTTAATCTTACTGTTTATATATTTTCTTGATTCTAGTTTAATCTTACTGTGTCCAGAAAACAGTGAATGATTTCAGTTTTTTAAAAGTTGGTAAGACCTACTTTATGCCTCCATATAAGATCAGTTTAATCATTCTGTATGCACTTGGAAAGATGCATTTTGTGGGGCCATGGTGTGCAATAAAGTATGTAAATATATGTAAGTCAGGTCATGTTTGTTTTTGTTGAGATTTTCTGTGTTCTTACTGATTCTTTTTTTTTTTTTTTTTTTTGGCTATTTTCTACTTAAAGTCTTCCACTATGATTATAGATTTGTCTGTTTCTCCTTTTACTTCTGTCACTGTAGTAACACATTTATATTTTCCTTGTGGATATAATGACCATCTTAGTGTCAAATGTCCCTCTTTGTGTCTGGTGATGCTTCTTCCTTTTGACTAGTGTTTGCCTGACAATTTTTCTATCCTATTTTTAATGTTTCTATATTTTTATATTTAAGCATATAGTTGGGTTTTGTTTTTCAGGTGGACAATTTTTAATCCATGCATTTAATGCAGTTACATTGAATTATTCATATACTTATATTTATTTTCTTTGTTTCCCTGAATCTGTTTCCGTTTGTTTACCTGAATCTGTTTCAGCTTCCCTTTTCTTTCCTTTCTTGACTCCTTTTGGATTTATCAAGTTTATTATCTATTTACATTTTCATTTACTTAGTTATATATTCTTCTATTATTTACCTCTTTATTCACTTAGTTATATATTCTTCTATTAATTTAGCAACTACATCAGCTATCACATGTTTTTTATTAATAAGAATGTTATCCAAATTACTACTTCACAGACAATATCAGCATCATATAACACTTTAGTCCTATTCTCTTTCTGCGTTATTTTCATATAGTCTGATTTGACATTAAAACTCTATAAAACATTACTGTTATTCTGTTTGCCCACTTATTTACTCTTTTCATTACCCTTTTTTCTTCCTGCATTTCCATATTTCTTTCTGGAATCATTTTCATTTTCTCTTCAGGATTTCCTTACTCAGGGCCTTCTGGTGATAAATTCTCAATTTCTGTCTCTGACAGGCGTCCCCGAGACCACCCCCACTTTGATGATTCACTAAGAGGACCCACAGGACTTAGCATATCGTGGGACTCATGGTTAGGATTTATTACAGCAACAGGATGCAAAGCAGAATCAGAAAAGGGAAAGGATATTTCAGATGCAGTCTGAAGAAGACCAAGCACATAGCATAAGCCTGGAGTCTAGCAGAGAAGCTTGTTAAAGACTTGGTGCCCCAGGTTATATAGGGAAATTACTCTCTGCCCAGAACATAAAAGCAAGTGTTCGCATATATCACATTGTTTCTACAGTTCAGGCACAGTAAGAAGCTTTCTTCACTTACGGGACTGGTGGGAATCCTCCCAAAATCCAAGTTTCCAGATACCAGCTAAGACCACTCTCTCTTTGAAAATGCCTTTATTTCACCTCTCCTTCCTCTGTTTAATCTAAATATGTTTATTGGGATAGATTTCCACCCATCTTGATTGTTAGTGCTGCCTCCTTCAGTAAACCTTGCTTTTCCTCCTGTAGATTGGCAGAGGACAGTGGAACAGCCAACACATAAAACTACTATCTGTGCATGGCTAACGACCGTGGGGAAATGTGGGTATTCCTCATCCACGAGGTAGGAACTGGGGCTCTGCACCCGGTACTTCTTTCCTCCTTTTCTGGAAAGAGGTGGAGATCCTTTATGAGAGACAGGTTCTCGTGGGGGAGGGCATCATTATTGGAAAGTTCACCTGATTTTGTGTCGTTTTTCTTGTGGTTTTGGTTTTTTTTTTTTGAGACTGGCCTTGAACTTACTATGTAGCCCACGCTGGCCTCTAACTCATAGCAATCCTGCCTCAGCTTCCTGACTATGTGCCACTATGCCTGGCTCACTTTTGCTTTTAAATGGTATTTGGCATTACATTAGCAGTTATTTTGCATTACAGTTTACATTGGCAGTTGCTTCTTTTAGCTCTTTTTTTAAACTGTCACTTCATTTCTTTCTCTTTTTTTTTTTATTCTATGGTTTCTGTTGAGAATTCAGCTATAACTCTCTTAACTGTCCTTTAAAAGCAGCATATTCTTCCCTCTACCCCATAGCTGCTTTTATAGCTTTGGTTTTCAGCAACCTGAGTGAGATGTGCATAGTTGTGGTTTCACTTGTATTTATGCTACTTGTTCTTTGAATCTATGCTTTGATGTCATTTTAGTTCATGGCCATTGTCTTCTTAGATATTTCTTTTACCTTAATCTGTCCTCCCTTTCTCTCTGGAATTTAAATTATGTGTATATTAGACTCCCCCCCTGTTATATTCTGTTATGTCTCTTATTATGTTCTTCGTATTTTACTCCATGCTTTAGTGTAGATATTTTCTACTGACCTTTTTCCAACTTATGATGCCCTTCATCTATGTCAAATATGGCTTGCCAGAATCGTTGACTTCTTAGATTTAACTATTGTTATGGGTTTTTTTTGTGGTGTTGGGTATTAAACCCAAGCCCTGGCACATGTAGGCAAACACTCTACTACTGAGCTATAGTTCCAGGTCTTCAGTTTGAGTTTTTACAGTTATTTTAAAATTGGTTCCTAGGGAGGCTGAGGCAGGAGGATCGTTGTGAGTTTGAGAACAGCCTGAGCTACAAAGTGAGCTCAAGGCCAGTCTGAACTCCATAGCGAGACCCTGTCTCAAAAAGACAAAAAAATAGAATAAAATAAAATAAAATTGGTGCCTAATTACTCGGGTATTTGGTTCCCATAATTGGGATTACTCCTTCCCCTTCTTTTTGAAATCTTGGCCCCTAAAGTCCTGGCTGCTTTGGTAACCCTTGAACTCAGTGTTTTCTCTCCAGCTCTGAGGTTTGTCAGAAGCTCCTCCTACACCATCCACTCCTGCAAAGCCACTCCCACCATTTGCGCAGTTCTCCCTTGTGAGATGGTTATGCTTGTGCTGCTTTCTGTAGTCCAGTTATGATTGCCTTTGATATTTTTTGGAGATTTCTCTTAAGTTCTGGTCCATTGTGAGCCCCTCATCTTGTTTTCCAATTTTATGAAATACAGAGACATTTACCTTTTCTATCTTTTCTAAAGTTGTGTGCAGTGGCACAGGGTTGCTGTTTAAGCTCAGGCTGATCCTGTTTTCTGTCTCCTCAGAACCTACAGAAGTGCTTAGTACATGGTTAGCACTCAGCAAGTATTTATGTAGAATAGATATTGACCATTCAAAAAAGTCAGATTGTTTATTATACCTCTGAAGTGTCTCCAATAGACAATTTTTTATTGGTGTTATAAAACTTCCCCCATGTGATATTTTTGTTGTCTGCCCTTCTTCTATAAACCATCTCTCTCCACCCCATCATGAGCTAAAACTTCAGCCAGCGTTGATCACAGAATTGAGAACAAAATGGCGGTTACAGAGGCTGGAGATGGGGGAGGGTGGGGAGGGAGAGCTTGGTGTAAGAGTTAGGTAGGAATAAGAAGTTCTGGGTAACTCTAGATAATGGTAATAATGTATATTTCTTAAAGCTAGAATAAAGGCTTTTATATATTTTATATGTCAGTTAAAAAGCAAATTTAATAAATATAAGGAAATAAAACTTTCAGGTCACATAGTTCATTTCTTCAGGTCACAACAGGTCTTCCGAGTTGAGAGTCATTCCCCCAAAAGGAAGAGAAAGTATTGATCAGCTTAGATGTGTTTCCTTTTGTCACATGCATTTACTGAGTATTTGTCTGTTTGTTGAATCTACATTCGTGTCTGGTGCAGGGCTCAAAGCTTGAACTCCCTTTGTGGCTGGCAAAAGGACTTTTTGACAAGAAGCGGCGCATCCTTTCCGTGGAACTTCCCAAGATCTACCAACAGGGTTGGAGGACTGTATTCAGTGCAGATGCCAATGTGGTGGACCTACACAAAATGGGACCCCATTTCTACGGGTTTGGCTCCCAGCTCCTCCATTTTGACAGTCCAGAGAATGCAGATATATCCCAGTCTCTGCTGCAAGTAAGTACTGTAATTGGTGTAAAAACCCTCGGTCCTGCATTTGTCTCTGGATGCAGCTGTGTCAGCCATCAGATGCCACTTTTACTCAGGGAAACGTACAGTTATAAACTGAGTTCATTATTATTCCAGGTCAGCCTATAATTATAATGTGTCTGCCAATTAAAAATATTTCTGTTTTTAATTACATTTATTTTTTGTTTGTTTTGTTTTTTTGTTTTTTTGAGACAGCGTCTCGCTATAAAGTTCAGGCTGGCCTTTGAGCTCACTTTGTAGCTCAGGCTGGCCTCAAACTCGCAACGATCCTCCTGCCTCAGCCTCCCAAGTGCTGGGATTACAGGCATGTACCACCACGCCCGGCTTAATTACATTTATTTTTAACTGATACCTAAAAATAAACATATATATTAATGAGTACCATGTGATATTTTAGTACATATACATTGTGTAATGTTTAAATCAAGTTAAACATAACTATCTCATTTATTATTTATGGCTAAAATTTTCAGAATAGCTTTTTGAAACATACAGTTTATTATTGTTATCTGCAGTCACCTTACTGTACAATAGCACTCCTTTATCTAACTGTGATTTGTTTAAAAATACAACTTGCTGCTGCTCCTCATATTTGCTTGCTAAAAATTGGAATCATCAGGAAATCCAGGAAAAGAGAAAAAAGGTGATGGTGGATTACAGGTTACAGGCACTTAGATTCAAAGTCCCTGCTGATCATAGGACTGTTCTAAGGGTTCCTATCAGAAATACTTGAATTACTTGATTCTTTGTTCCCTTCTTCTAGGGTTAAGACGTGGCTCTGCCATGAACTAGTTGTTTGATTTGGTTGATCTACCGTGCCTCTCTAGGCATGAGTTCTTCACATGTAATGTGCAGATAATAATAGCACCAAAATCATTGAGTTGTAAAACCATAATTTGATTTAATACATTTAATAAGCAATAGCTATAATTATCTTTCAGTGTTTATTTTAACTCTTTACAATTATTTTTTATTCTGTTAATATTAGAAGAAACCACCCTTTCTGCCTCTTTGGACATAAACAGCTGAAAGGCTTTACTTCTACATTATTTGTTTCAAAATAACCCAGTGCTAAATGGACATCTTCCTTTAGGCTTAAGCATTCTTTGGGTCACCACGTACTAGTGCTGCTTTTAATGTAGGTAGTAAAGAAAAACGTTGCTGTCCATCCAGAAAAAGAAAATCAATACGTGGATAGTCTATAGACATAGGTTATAAGCTTGAACCCAACTTTTATGAAGCTCTTTGGCACAGAAAGGTAAAAATGAGGAAAATCCACTTGTCTTACAATGTCCCAGACTGTGTTCTTCAATTAGAGTCTTAGTTTTTTATTGAGCTGTACGTTTCCTTTTTCTTTCTTTGCTTTCAAGTACTTTAGAGTTGTTTATAATAAAGTGACTTTCTCATGAGAGTGGAAGAAACAGAAGCAGGGGCTTGTGGTTTGTGCTCAGAGCCCAGGGTAAAATGGCACCTGGAGATCTCATGTATCTCCATCCTGCTCTCAAACTGAGATAAATAGAAACTGCATTCAGTTAAATCAGGAATCTGTTCTGGTTGAAGCTGTTACCCTGGGAATGCAGTGCGTTATTATTGCCTTTGTGTTTGACAGTAATGGTAATGCTTTTCAGTGAGCTTATTACATGCAAGCCACTGCTGAGTGCTTTACATAACAACCATTAGAGTCCGTAACAGACCCTTTCCCAGTCAAGGTACCTGAGGCTTGGCCATTTTCAGTGATAGAGGGCACTCAGTCCTCCTCCTGAGTACTGAGAACAAAATTCTTTCATGCCATTTAAATATTCCAAGATAAAAATGGATCTGGCTTTATGGGACGTGAGATCAACCCTGACTTTACTTACTCCCTTCTTCAGACATTTATTGGACGTTTTCGCCGCATCATGGACTCCTCTCAGAACGCTTACAACGAAGACACTTCAGCCCTGGTAGCCAGGCTGGACGATATGGAGAGGGGCTTATTTCAAACTGGGCAAAAAGGACTGAATGGCTTTCAGTGTTGGGAAAAGGGACAGGCTTCCCAAATCACAGCTTCCAGCCTCGTTCAGAATTATAAGAAGAGAAAATTCACTGACATGGAAGACTGAAGGTCAGAAGAACACAGAATTGCCCCGGGTGGGCTGATGCCTCATGTGTCCTTACTAAGACCTTCTTGACCTTGTTCAGGACCAAATTGTGTCACACTTCGTAGGTTATAACCTGCAGCAGTCTCAGGAGTTGAGACCATCTTGTTGGGATGGGATGTCCCGAAGCCCCTGGTCCTCTAATCTTCCAGGACTGTCCCACCCTGCTAACCCACAGCCCAGGCCTTTTGACCTCAGAATGCGCAGCTAAAGAGAAATCAGAGTCTGTCCTAACTAAGGTCCAATGACATACACATTCACAGTTGAGTTGAAGTTGGTGTTCTTGTGTCTGGGAGTTTAGACAGCCTCACATGTCCAGTGTCACTAGCTGCAGAGGACAGGTATAAATTGGGTCACCTTTGCCTGTTCACAGAATGTTCTGTTGAGGTTTTTGCCTCATCTTCCTCATGCTCAAACAAAGACTAGCACGTCCTGGTGCTTGCCTGACTTAAAAAGCTCTCCTGCTGTTCACCTGTGGAGAATTACCCTAATTTCCAAAAACAGTCCCCAAAAAGAAGGAGAGGCAAATGAATGGCATGGCAGAAAAGAGAAGATATTACTTTTGTACTCTAAGATCAGGGCTTTGTGAACCAGAGTCACATCACTGCAGTCAGCCTGGAGGAGAGGTGGTTAAATTGAGCTTGTGTTTGTCTCTGCAATCTTTAGCGCATCCACACACTTATTCCATTCTGCTCCAGGAAAACTGTCAGGGACTCATTTGGAATTGCAAAGTAGTTATTAAGGGTGTTAACCAGCCTTTGCTACATCTGAAAATCAGGATTGGAGCCCTGTGTGAGAAACTTAACATGGCAAATGTTAAGTAGCTGAAAGGCTTGGTTACATATATATTTTTTGTTTAGGATATTCTGGGATATTATTGCATAGACAACCCCGACCATTTAATGGAAATCTATGTAAGAAGCACAAAAGTCTTCTGAGAAGAGCGAGGAGGAAACTCAGGCTGAGTAAGAAACTACACTCCTGGGGACCTACTAGACTGTCCAATGGGCAGTTTTCTCCAGACCATTGCTCCCCTTCCCAACACCTCACAGCTGACAAAAATTAGTGCTGTTGTTGGAAATTATGGAAGCATTTGGGTTTCCAAATTATACAGGTGTCTTGATATAAACGTAGAATGGCAGAAATGCTTTTGAAAATGCCTATTTTAACATGAAATTGTTTTTATAATTTGATTTTAGTACTAAATAAATGATCAGCTTTGCCTATGAGTGCATTCTGTACCAGTGCTATTTTTGTAACTTTAGTACTGCAGATGTTCAGCAAAGCCATCAGAGAACTTTGTCTTTGATCATATTTGACAGTAATGCCCACATAAACCCATGTTTTAGCAGCTGCTCTTTTGTTTGTACACTACACATAAATATGAGATGCAAGCCGGGCATGGTGTCACACGCCTATAATCCCAGCACTCAGGAGGCTGAGGCAGGAGGATCCTTGCGAGTTTGAGACCAGCCTGGGCTACAAAGTGAGCTCAAGGCCAGCCTGAACTGCATAGCAAGACCCTGTCTCAAAAAAGACACAAAACAAAACAAAAAATAAATATGAGATGCATTCTTTGTTGGCATGTGCTGTGTCCTAGGAAAATGAGACTTCTGTTATTGTTGCAGTGTTATGTATAGCTAAGACCCCAGGAATCCTTGTTAGAGTAAGAAAAGTTTATTATTTAACTTCTGGCGTCTTTATTTTCACAGATACTTTTGTATTTAAAGATAGTCCAAGGCTGCTGCCTTTTTTTTTTTTTTTTTTTTTTCTTCTCAAAAAAAATTTTTTTTTTCTTCAGGGCCTATATGTCAAGAAATGTGAGGGTGTGCACGTATAGAATTTACTCCATTTGAAATTTTGAATGCATGTAGCTTCAGAAACTACTTTCAGTTACATGTCTGCCTTCAAGCTTGTCAGACTGTCCCCACGTGCGTAACCCTCCCCAAGTCAGTGTTTTCAGATTACTGTTTGATCTTTTCAAACAGGTATTTTTCAAAAAGAGGTCAACAGATTGACTCGGATACCAACTTGCTGCTAAAATCCATTGAGTGAATGTGTACCTTTTCCTCCTAAGGACTCTATTTCTACGTAACTGCAGGCAGAAGACCTCACTGCATGCAGGTTTTTCCCAGGGACAGTCTGGGCTGCAGGAAGTGGGACAAGGCTCGCTCTTCCTGTGAGTTCCTCCTGCTCTGCCTGACCTCTAAACTTTGAGCAGCTCCAGGGTTAGTCCTTGCATCCTTCTTCATCTTTTTTGATGTGATGCTACTAATTGAATTCATAGCCCCAGCCATACTAGACAAGCACTCTACCCCTGAGCTACGTCCTCAGCCCTTTTTTATTTTGTTTTTGAGTCAGGGCCTTGCCAAGTTGCCTGGCTAACCTTGAATTTATGACCCTCCTGTCTGAGTCCAGTACCTGGGTTCTAGGCATGTGCCCCATACCCTTTGGATCTCCATATGCTTATGACTCCCAAGTTCGGATCTGGATCAGGATTGGAGCTCTCTGAGAAACTTAACTCAGCTCTCCATCCGGCCTCAGACTTGCATCCGGCCAGCTGCTTGCTGTTTGCACTTCGGTGAGCTCCATTCTTACTCCAGCTTACCCCTGGTACCTTACCGTCTTCACTGATGACAACTCCATCTTTCCTTGTTGCTCAGCACAAAACCCTTAATGTCCTCTCTGAACTTCCCTCTCTTTCTCCTCATATGTTTTGGACCTACCTTTGACTCATCTGAAGAATCTGAGAAGTTGAGCATGGTGGTACACACCTGTAATCCCAGCACTCAGGAAGCTGAGGCAGGAGAATCACAAATTCCAGGCCAGTCTGGACTACATAATGAAACCCTACCTCAAAAAACCTAAAAAAAAAGAAATCTGACCACGGTAATATTGTCACCTGGGCCTAGGCTCCAAACATTTCTTTTCTGGATTGTTTCTACCTCCTACTTGCCTCCTGCATTTACTTTCTACTCCTTAAAACTCTTCTCACCAGAGCAACCAGAGGGGTTTTGTTCAGAAATCAAATTCTGTTCATTCTATGCTGAAAACCCTCATATATGAGAGAAAAAGGCTACCCAGTCATCCCAGGATTATTTGTTTAAAAGTCTGCTTTTACCCCAGTGACTGGATAATCAGTTTTTTATTGCTTTTATATAGAAGTAATCTTTCTTATTTTAAATAAAAATTCCAAGCCAGGAATAGTGGTGCATACTTGTAATCCCAGCATTGAGGGAGGCTGAGGAAGGAGGATTGCAAGTTTCAAGTCCCACCTGGGGAACCGAGCAAGGCCCTGTCTATAAATTAGGGAGATAGATAGATAGATAGATAGATAGATAGATAGATAGATAGATAGAAAGGGCTGGGGTTATAGCTCAGTAATACAGCACCCCAGAGTTTGATCTTCAGCTTCACAAAAATAAAATAATTGCCTTCTCCCTAAGAGAGTTCTGAAACCTTACAGAGTTTCTTACTAAGCTTTCAGCCCCATTGGACCAGAGAAATTCTTGGAATTTGTATCTGAAGTAGTTTAACTGGAATGCAGAAGTACTGAGCAACTGATTCAAGGTCTGATGAAGTCACTTCCAGGGCTGGGGGTGTGGCTTAGTGGTAGAGTGTTACCCAAGCATGCTGAGACCCTGGGTTTGATCTTCAGCACTGAAAAAGAAATTCTCATTCTGATTCTTTCCTTCTGCCATCTTTCAAGAGAGCTTTTTGTATTTATGCATGAAATAGTGGTGTGTAATTGTGCCAAGACTGACCTTGGCAAACGAAATTAATTGTGTAGAGAGCTTTTTATATTTATGCATGAAATAGTGGTGTGTAATTGTGCCAAGACTGACCTTGGCAAACGAAATTAATTGTGTAGAGACTGTATGTGTTTTTCTGAAAGCAGATATTTTTGTGTTAAAAAAAAATTACACTTTAAGAACTTTGTGGGGCAAAATGTAGTATGTACACTTCACAGTAAGACGTATTCTAAGAACCAAAATTTCAACATTCCTTATTTTGTAAACTTAAAATTTTGAATGCATGTAGAAATAATTTTCTAAAGACACTTAAATGCCTTAAACCTAAAGAAAGGTATCTAAAATTTGGAAATCTACTGTTGACTGTTGATAGCAGCAGTAAATCTTCCATTATTAATAGTGAATAAAATGTATAGTGAATCAAGGGAAAGTCTGGGGAAATTGTAGTCACCCTTCACTGAGAGAACAAATGCTAATAATGGGCCCAACCTGCTTTAGTTTGAGTTTATTTCGTGCATTTTTCTAGGGTTCTGCTTTTCTGCCTATTTCATCAAAGGAGGCAGCAACCAGACACAGTCTCCTTGCCCGGCAGCCTTACTGTAGGACAGATGCGTCCCCTTCTTGGTTGCACTGTCCTGGTACCTGCCTTGTGGTCCAGAGAGAGAGGTGTAGATGGGATACCCCAGAGCAGAGGTCTCTCTTCCATGCCTGCTTTTCCAAGATCAGAGTCACATCCACTAGTCACATCCATCATTTCATTAGAGTAATTATTTGGAAGTCATTTTAGATTTATGGAACAGTTGTAAAGATGGATCAGAGAGTTCCCATGTATCTTTTACCCAGCTTTCCCTTACATCTTTCATGATCATGGTACATTTATCAAAGCTAATATTAACAAACCCACAGGCTTTATGCAGACTTCACCAGATTTTTCAGTAATGACCTTTTTTGTTTCAGAACCCAATTTAAACCCCACGTAGCACTTTGGGGCAGTCATTTTTTAAAGCCAAATAGTGTCGAGATCTCCACTATATTTCAAAACTCAGCTGACTATAGAGGCTTCATTGCAGTGAGGTTGGGGTACCAGGGATCAACTAAGCTTATTCAAGCTTGTGCAGGAGCAAGTTGCAGGTGAGGTCATCAGAAGGGAGAGAATACAAGCTTTCCACTTGAATTTTTCACTTTTTCCTTAGTATTTGGAGCTGACAGAAAAGGATCCTCTCTGACTCTACCTGAAACTTACAGCATTCTCTCTGATAGCAGAGACTTGATTGTCTCCTTTTCTTTTCTGGCAGCCTCTAGCTAATTTTCTTTGTATCTAAATTAGTTTAAAATGAGCACGACTTTATACACCAACATTATTAACAAGTGTCAGCACAGCTCTGAAAATAGTGCCTGGGAACCGTCTGTGTTTCAGAATCCATAAAGGAGCACAGAACCAGCTCATCTTGCAAACTCCCACTGATGGCTAATTACAAAAAAAAAGTTTCCAACCTTCGTGGTACTTTCTGATCCCTCTTTACCCTTGAGAGATTTCTTTGATTGCCACATGACTTGCCTGTCTGCTTTGTACAACTGGAACTCTTCCATGGGGACATTTTCTTTTCTTTGGATACAAAAAAGCAAATGAGTAGCTAAGGAAAGTAAGTTCAAATGCAGCAAAGGATGAGAAAAGGATGGCGTGATTTGTTGAAGGAAAAGTGAAGTGGGGATTTGTTTTGAGGCTTCAGAAGGACTGGAGACAAAAACCAGTCTTCAAAGCTACATTGCCAGAGTCACTGGAGCCACTGAAAATAACAGTGGTTTTCTGAGAGGGCAACCTTGTGACACATAATGTTTACATGTGTTCTGTGGCATTGGTACACATGCATGGTATATAACCGGTCCCTCCCACCTCTTACCCATCTCCAACAAGTCTGCCTCCCTGCTTACTGTTCACTGTCATTTATTTTACTCTTTATTTACATCTTATATCCACGCAATGTGTAACTTTCTGTGTCTGACTTATTTCACTTAACATGATGGGCTTAAGATCCATCCATTTTCCTGCCAACACCTTTTTCTTTTGGTTTGGTACCGGGAATTGAACTCAGGACCTTGCGCTTGCCAGGCAGGTGCTTGTGACACTGAGGTACATCTCTGGCCCACCAACACCTTTTTCCAGCTGTTCTTTATAGGTGAATTAAAATGTATGTATATATATGTAAATGTATATAAATGTAAATGTGTGTGTATGTATATATATCACATTCTCTTTATCTGTCTGTTGATGGGCATTTAGGACATTTCCAGAGCTTGGCTATTTTGAATTGTGCTGCTGTAGACATAGATATGCATGTATCACTATTATATGATGACTTTAACTCTTTCAGGAATATACCCAGGAGAGGTATAACTGGATTAAATGGAACTTCTATTTTTAGGACTTATCTTAATGGGACCAAGAGAGTTGGCACTTGGCTATCTCTTTGCTCAGG